GAAATGTTAACACCTTTGCCTTGCAAAAAATATGACCTAAAAAGTAACAAAAAACAATTTATGTTTCACATGTATCAGTTCTTGATAGCACTTTCCAATAAATCTTTTCATTGACATTACAAGAAATAAATCAAGAATAATTACACAACTGCAGTTGACAGAAAATGTTTTTGTTTTTAAACCTCATTTATAAACAATAATATCTTGTTTCATTGGCTTGGAAATATGTCAGGTCCTATTGAAAATTTTCCTGCATGAAAGTAGTAATAGGAATCATCAGGAAAAAAAGTTTGAGTGAATAAAGAATTAATAACAAAAACACTGGTAAGGATCTGAAATGCAATGATTCATCTGAAAGACTTTTTTTTTATTCCTTGTATTATTTACATTATTTGAACTGTTATCTTCATCTTCAATGTTTCAGCAACTCTGTCCTTCTTCAGGTGATGGGAATTTTGAATCAAAGTCTTTATTTCATCCACCGGGGTAGATTGTTCTAGTTCCTCAAGGACACATGGCCCAGTGAATAAAGATGTTGGCTAGATCCAGTGACTAGGCCCAAAGAGTTGTGAGTTCAATACCAGGCCACTGCAGCGGTGAACCAAAAAAACTTGGAGAGTTGAGTTAAAGGGAAATAACTGAGACATCTGGAAGAGGCATGTCACATGGAACTAAAACAATCTACCCCAGTGGACAAAATAAAGGATTTGGTTTGAAATTCCAATCACCTGAAGAAGGCCAGAGCATACAATGGCTGAAATATTGCGAATATGGCAATGAAGATGAGGATAACAGTCCGAATAAGGTAAATAATACAAGGAATCATAATACCTCATCTCAGAGATATAGATTTTTTTATATGTATATTTGAAACCAGGTTATTTTGCTTTCATGTTCGAATCATTCATCTGAAAGATTTTTTTTTTCTTTAATTTTCATTTTTGAAACTAGGTTATTTTGCATTCATTTCTACAAAGTTTATATAACCTGTGATATCACAGTATGTAGTAAATAAATATACTTATTTTATTCAGTTGAATTATTTAATAGCATAACAGATTCTGAGAGGAGAAAAGAAAAATAATACCGCAGTTAGATTTTTGTACCAATAATTTTTTAATCTGGTAAAGTTATGTCAGAAGTATGCTGTTGGAGCCTTGACATATTTTAGAAGGATATCAGAATAATCCAGGACCAAACTGTCTCCATAGAAATAGAAATATACAAAAATAGAAAGTGGTGTAGGACAAGGATGTATCTTCTCACTTGACTTATTCAACATATATTTACAGTGAAGTGATTCTGAGTGAATTAGAAATTCTACTAGGATTCATTATTGCCAACCAAAATCTTAACAATATAAGATATGCAGATGAGACTGTGTTGATTACAAATACAGAAATTAAACTACAATAACTATGGAAGATAATGAAGGAAAGCAAGAAGAAAGGACTAAATATCAAGAGGGAATGCATGGTTGTTAGCTAAAGGGACAGCTTAACATGCAAATTACAAATTGGAAATAGCAAAATCAAACAAAGTACAATTTAAATATCTGGGAAGTTTTCTAACAATTTCCTATCCTTTTGTAGCTCTTAATAAATTTTCTTTTCCTTCTTACTCCAGAACCTGTTTTGCCATTCATTCACTCAAGCTTGCTAAGTAGGTTATGCATTGTATTCCTTTGTCTTTCTCTCCTGTGAGTTTCAACTTTTCCAAGCCCTCTTTCTTTATTATGTGCCATAGAAATTTCAACTCATTCTGATGTTAAGTATAAGTGTCGTTTCTGTTTCCATTTTCTCTAAAAATTATTGCTCATATATTCAGTTCATTATATTCTCAGTATCCTTCTGTAGAACCACATTTCTGTTGCTTCAAGTCACTTTATCTATGAGAAGATTGGCCAGGATTCACTGCCATATATATATGCTGATATTACGTAACAGTTCAGTATTCTTTTCTTTGTTTCTAATAACATTTTCCTGTTTTTTAATACTTAATGCTTAGCTTTTGGAAGGCATCTTTTGCTATCCCAATGCACTTTCAGTGTCACACTTTCCATCCACTGTTAAAACACTTCCTAGATATTTAAATTGTTATTTAAAATCCTTAATAGAATTAATTTGTTTCCTGCTTAGAGAATGACAGATATCCTTTCCACTCTGGTCATAGGCCATTTACTCAGTTGTAGTAGATATTTATCTTGCTGGCCTCTTGCTCTAACTTACGAATGAGCAAGTTACCAGCATGATTAGCCTCTGCATCAAAATCATAATATATTGTGGTGAGATGGATAGTTTATCCTGAGATTGTTTCTGTCATTGAACATGGATAAAATAGAAAACACTGTTGCCATCCATATATCAAGCATTGTACTCTAAACTATTTTAAAAAAATATGTGCAAGAATGACTCAGCAAAGGTGAAGGATTCTTCATTTTGTATTGAGCCGAGACTATTTAAAGTTAGATGCATTATTCTCTGGCTGTAAATCTTGTATGAACACCCTCTTGACTCTTGTACTGATCTGATATATTGGGCATTCTGCTAACATTCCCATATTGAGTGCTACTGTCAAAATGGACAAGCAAAGTGACGCCATTTAATTCAGTAAAAGCCTGGTACAGCCGAGGCCAAACTATTTATTATGTCAAGTAAAGCATAATGCCAATAAAACCTTAATAGAAATAAATATAAATATCAGCTGATAATATTTACTAAGTTTATCTTACGATGTTATTTTTCTGAATAAATACTTTTATAAAATTATAAATTAAATATAATATCTTAGTATAAAATTGATTTGAGATTCAATAATATAAATAAATTAAACTAATACAGTGTAACCCGGATATAAGAGAGTTGTTGGGACCGGAGAAAAAGTCTCTTATATCCGGGTTTCTCTTATATCCGGGTTTGGTCTATTTTATATACATTAACACAGGCTCTAATTTGGGACCGGAGAAAAAGTCTCTTATATCCGGGTTTCTCTTATATCCGGGTTTGGTCTATTTTATATACATTAACACAGGCTCGAATTTGGGACTGGAAAATCTCTCTTATATCCGGGTTTCTCTTATATCGGGTTTGGTCTATTTATATACATTAACACAGGCTCTAATTTGGGACCAGAGAAAATCTCTCTTATATCCGGGTTTGGTCTATTTTATATACATTAACACAGGCTCTAATTTGGGACCAGAGAAAATCTCTCTTATATCCGGGTTTCTCTTATATCCGGGTTGGGTCTATTTTATATACATTAACACAGGCTCGAATTTGGGACCAGAGAAAATCTCTCTTATATCCGGGTTTCTCTTATATCCGGGTTTGGTCTATTTTATATACATTAACACATGCTCTAATTTGGGACCAGATAAAATCTCTCTTATATCCGGGTTTCTCTTATATCCGGGTTTGGTCTATTTTTTTATATACATTAACACAGGCTCTAATTTGGGACTGGAGAAAATCTCTCTTTATCCGGGTTTGGACATTAACACAGGCTCTAATAAAATCTCTCTTATATCCGGGTTTGGTTTAACACATGCTTAATTTGGGACCAGAGAAAATCTCTTATATCCGGTATATCCGGGGTCTATTTTATATACATTAACACAGGCTCTAATTTGGGACCAGAGAAAATCTCTCTTATATCCGGGTTTCTCTTATATCCGGGTTTGGTCTATTTATATACATTAACACAGGCTGTAATTTGGGACGGAGAAAAAGTCTCTTATATCCGGGTTTCTCTTATATCCGGGTTTGGTCTATTTTTATATACATTAACACAGGCTCTAATTTGGGACCAGAAAATCTCTCTTATATCCGGGTTTCTCTTATATCCGGGTTTGGTCTATTTTATATACATTAACACAGGCTCTAATTTGGGACCAGAGAAAATCTCTCTTATATCCGGGTTTCTCTTATATCCGGGTTTGGTCTATTTTTGGTCTAATTTTATATACATTAACACAGGCTCTAATTTGGGACTGGAGAAAATCTCTCTTATATCGGGTTTCTCTTATATCGGGTTTGGTCTATTTTATATTTGGCTCTAATTTGGGACCAGAAAATCTCTTTATATCCGGGTTTGGTCTATTTTATATACATTAACACAGGCTCTAATTTGGGACTGGAGAAAATCTCTCTTATATCCGGATTTCTCTGTATATAATTTACTAATTTAAAACCAAAAAAAAAAAATTTAGATACTTTTATGGCTGAAAAGTTTTGATTTTCTGAATTATATGATGTTGTATGAAATAAAATTTATAAATATACATTAAGTAAAATATCAAACATTTTGGTTGCATTGAAATATTTAAATGTTGTTATATACTTACCGAACCCTAGTGTGGTATTTATTTCAAAATTGAAATGATTAGCATTTGTTTTATTGTATATAACTATGATATCTGATAACTCAATTGATTACTCAAACTGTATGATACTGATAAGTGATATTTAATATCATATAAATATGATATCTAATAACTCAGTTGATTTATCAAACTGTATGACACTGATGAGTGATATTTAATATCGTATAAATATAATATCTGATAATTCAATAGATTTATCAAACCATCTGGTCCTGATGAGTAATATTATGTGAAACTTCGAAGTTAATCAATGAAATAAACCCACTGAACATCATTTATTGATTTATTGAATAAGTATAAATATCCTTAAAAAACTTTTTCAAAATTTATTTTTTGGATTGATTGATTCTTTTTCTACGGCTTATCAACCTTTTGGATATTATTTAAAGCCAGAAAATATTTTTAGTTTTTAAGAATTTTTTTCGTAGATATTAATGGTTTAGTGATACAAGTCTTACTAATTATCCCATAGCTGGGGGCTGATAAAAGTTACATTCATACCTTTCCCAAGAGTATTTGCACGTAAGTGAATATAACAAACCCAACAGCAATTGGAATCTGGCTCTCCGATTAACAATTCTGATCATTATCCATTACATCACCTATGCATCCAAGTTTGCAGCATCTGGTATTCCCAAGCAGTCACCCATCTAGATACTGACCAGGCTTGATGTTACTTAACTTCAGTGATCATACTGGAACCTGTGTTTCAATATGGTATGGCTGTAAGCCTATATTTACTTTTAAAATGGCAACAAATGGTATAAACATTGTAGAAATAAAATGATTTTTCCCCTCTAGGAATGCTAGATTGAATTTCTTTCTTAACAAAATGATAGTTATGTATGTATCTAATGCAAAAGTATTACAAATTGAAAATACTGAAGGCTCAAATTATATTATTACAATAACTGGAAGAATAGGTTAGAGTGAGCAATCATCTGAAAAATGTTTCTTCTAGACCAGCAGTTTTGGACAGTCATTTTGCGGTTATCTAAAACTGTCAGCTGTATACAACCACTTTCTCAGACCAATGGTTAAAGATGAGCTTTGAATGAAGCAAACATGCAGATTTTAGAAAGGTACATCCTTCTTTGAGCATCATGGATTGGGGCAACAGAAGCACAAACAAAGAACAGTACCAGAAACCACATCACTTGATGACTTTCATCAGCAGTCATGTGTTGCTTCTCTGTTGTCTACATAGCAACTGGCATAGACAGATAGGTCATACCCCTATGCTTGCTAAAAAGCAACTGGCGTTTGTCACTTTACAAACTGACATCACTCACAGGCCATCACATGACCTTCATGAATTCATCTTTTCCTAATGGAGATAATTGCCCTTTTCATCTCTACAGCTGTTTTTATTTGTCATAAATATCCACCCATCCTCTCCTGAAAATTTTCTATCAGTCAGATCAAAGCTTTACTGTAAACTAATAATTTTCAATTTTCCAGGCCTTATCACCCTACTTAGAATCCTAAGTTTTCTCGGTTCCTCTTCCATTTCAAATTGTCTTCTAGCAGGTTTTTTTTTTAACCTTTATACTTATTATTTACATATGAAATAAATTTACTACTTTAGACAATTTTTCTACCATTCAGGTGAAAATTCTTTTTTCAACTATGAGTACAAAATCTTTCTTAATCCCTTGAGGGATTATGGTGCTAATTTTATTTCAGGTTAATCTAAATCTCTGTCTGAATTTCTAGGATGAGAGGTTATCATTATTTATACTCAGACTGTTGTCCTTATATTTGTTGTTGTTATCACAATGTTTCAGTCAGATAGTGCAGAGTAATAACTGAGCAATGTTGAATAAGAACAAAACACGATATCCCAAGATATTGGCAACAGAACAAAAACAGTCTGCAAATAAATGGTTCAGTTGGAAAATTCCATGAATATTACCCAGATTGACAAGCACCTGATGAAGGCTGGAGTGCAAAATGACTAAAACATTGTGATAATAGTGACATTCACTGGATTTATTCAAACTATACAGTGAGGTGATTCTGAGAGAATTAGAAGTTCTACCAGGATTCATTATAGGCAGCCACAATCTTAACAATATATTATATGCAGATGACACATGTTGATAGCAGGCATGGAAAGAAAACTACAGGCACTCTTCTAGAAGGTAGTAAAGGAGAGCAAGAAGAAATATGAGCACTGGTAAAAAATGACTGCTGAAGACATTAGGTTTATAATACCCAGAAATTCATACACAGATGTCCTCAAGGACACATGGCACAGTGGATAAAGGTGTTAGTGATCCAGTGACAGGATGCAAAGAGTTCAATACCTGGTTAAAGTGGTGGAGAACTTTGAGAGGGGAATTAACAAGAGATAACTGACATGAGACATGGCACATGGAACTAGAACAGTCTACCCCATTGAGTGAAATAAAGGATTCAGTTCGACATTTCAACCACCTGAAGAAGGCCGGAGTGTACAACAGCTGAAACGTTGTGATAAACATGGCGACAAAGATGAATAATAATGTAAATAGGGTACAAACTGTACATAATACCTCATTTCAGAAATATAGACAGATAAGAAAGGACTAACCATCAATTGTAAGAAGAGAGAATGTATTGTTATCAATAAAAGGAACCATTAAAAATGTAATCTACAAATTAGAAACACCAAAATGCAGCAAGTACAAAAATGTAAATATCTAGGAAGTGTTTTAAAACAGGATGAAAAATATGATACCAAAATCTGGAGGCTCACTGGAATGGCAAAAGATGCTTTTTAAAAGATAAGCAAAGTATTAAGAAACAGGAAAATTTTGAGCACCTAAACTATGTAATCTCAGTCCTCCTATATTACAGTGAATGCAGAATAGTCTTCTTGTGGATGAAGAAGAAACTTGTGGTAGCACAAATGTGGTTCTACAAAATGATGCTGAGCATACCATAAACTGAACATGTGAGCAACAACAAAGTTTTAGAGAAAATGGAGACAAAATACTTAGAATCTAAAAGAGATAATTGAAATTTATAGGGCACTTAATGAGAAAAGAGGGCTTGGAAAATGTAACACTCACAGGACATGTTGAAGGCAAGAGAAATAGAGGAAAGCAGTGTATAACCTACCTAATGAGCTTGTGTAAATGTTTGGCAGAACAGGGATTAGTAGAGATAGCAAAAAAACAAACACCTCTAAGGGCTATAAAGGACAGGAAATTGTGGAGAGCCATGATCAGCAGTGTAAATGTTTGGCAGAACAGGGATTAGTAGAGATAGCAAAAAAACAAACACCTCTAAGGGCTATAAAGGACAGGAAATTGTGGAGAGCTATGATCAGCCACGCCCTTAGGGATAGTGCACATAAAAGAAGAGGTTCTTTTTTACGATAAAATCTGTCTGAAAGAATCAAACTTAAGCTTGAGTAAAGTAACCCATGTGTAGTATCACAGCTGGCCAGGAATGGATATCTGACATGTTTGCAATTTTTTTGCCACTTTCAGATGACTTGTTGAAAAAGACATCACAGATGTCTGGTAACTTAGAATAACTAACAAACTCTTTGACAGATGCTGACATTGATCTTTCTCTAAAGAACTATGTCTCTAAGTACTTTTATAAATAAATTTGCTTAGTGCTTTCATATCATAGAAACTATATATATATATATATATATATATATATATATATATATATATATATATATATATATATATATTAATATAAAATTTGTCACTTAACTGTTTGATTTTATATTCAGCACCTCTACTCCAGGTTACGAACCTTTCTATAATAGTCCCACTTGTCAGGAATTATTGGCAAATTTTTCTTGTTTTTGTTATTTTTATATTAAGTTAAAAAAAAATAATTTATGCACTTTTTTATCGGTATTAGGTTTATTTTTCTTCTTTCTATGCATGTGTGTGTGTACGCATACACATGTGCATATGTGCACATGTGTAGAATGTTGTGGTAGGGTCACCTATCATTTGATTCATGCTCCTCTCCAGTGTTTTGAACAGGAGTAGAGGTTTATCCCTGGTTTCCTGTTTAGAATTAAGTTTTCAGTTCCTTTGAAAGTCTACTTCAACCTAAGCTCTTATTTTCTGTTTAGAATTGGGTTTCAGTTCCTTCTAAAGTCTTCTCATTCTCTTTCACTCCCAGTAACCCCTTGTATCTTAGTTGCTTTATCACACTTTGTTTGGGGTGAATTGATATATATATATATATATATATATATATATATAGTAACATGAGTTGGGATGACAGAATGTTAAGATAAAGAACAAATAGGAAATGTTTATCAATCTAGCATGTTTGACTTTTATTAAAGCTTCATTGGAGAATGAGTTAAGAAGAAAAAGAAATTCTGGTATTTTTACTTTTGTATTGTTTGATCTTCATTGGCCAGTCATGTTTTTTATGTATTTGACTCTTTAAACCAACATAAGAATAATTTGTGGCATTCCAAATTCCAGGGAAGAATTTCAATTTCATAGTGCTTCAGATGGACGCATTGTCTCTCCTTGAATTTGGAACAGTCTTTTATTTTTTCTCTCAAAACCTCATTTGACTGAATAAAAGTTTCCTTCCACCTGTTAACATCTCTGAAAACTGTAATATTGTCCACACATTAAAGAAAACATCATAATTTGGGAAAAAAGTTTGAAGAGACAAATTTATAAATCTACTACAAAAAAATGAAACAAAACTAAACACATCATGTTAAGTTAGACATATCCAAATATACATGAGTCAAATTGAAATAAGGAAGGTCCATAATTTATGGGAGGAAAATGTGTTTATTTATTGAAGATTAACATAAGAGAGTAAAGAAAAAAAGGAGAAAAGTAATTTCAAAAGGGAAAAGTTCCAAATGAAGTGGGTGCAAATCAGGATGTCAAATCTTATCTTTAACACTCCCACCATTATCAGTAATCTGATCCCTAAATTGTTGCTATTATATCTGTCACCCTCACAAGAATCTGATAGAAATTTATTTTTCTTATTCTCATCAATATTGTGTTCTCCAAATTGATTAGAGTTTTTCAATGGAATAGAATTTGTCTCAATACATTCATTTTGGCTTTGAATTTCCTGAGTAGTCTCTCCTTTATTGTCAATAAATTTATTTGTGAAAGTGACCAATCGTGCTTTCTTCACAGATTTCTTTTCTTTGAAATACACAAAATAGGTTGGGCTGTATTTATGGTACCCTATAAAAATCCCTTTTTTTGATCGGGGATCTAACTTTTTTTTTTCTCTTGCACATAGGCATAGCATATTGTACCAAAAATGTTCATATTTTCAACATTTGGTTTCATTCCCTTGAATGCCTCATAAGGAGTTGACTTCCATCCTTGATTATAACATCTATTACGAATGTAGCAGGCAGAGAGGAAAATGTATGGCCACAGCTTGTGACTTAAATGAGATTCAATCAACATACATCTAGACATTTCAAATAGTGTTCTCTACCTCTCTACAGTTTCATTTTGGTGGGGGAGTATGGGGCAGATTTTTTGTGTCGGATTTTAAGTTGAACAAGAAGTGATTTGAATTCTGTTGATGTGAATTTAGAACCATTATCACTCCTTAGTCTCTTAACATTTCCAAAAGGAGTGCTATCAGCCAAGAATTGTTTTGTGGCATCAATTGCATTGCTTTTACTTTTGAGAAAATATACCATCACATAAACTGAATAGTTGTCAGTGAACATTATAACATACTTGAAACCATCCATACTAATGGGC